GCCTTAATTGTCCAACAAATCAACTTTACGTATGTCGTACAAATAATTGTGTCTCTTGAGTCACCTGGTATGTCTTCGGGCTTACAAATTGTCCCCATTTTGTGTGATATTTTTTGTGCAATTTTAGTTTAAGTAAAAAGTTATAGAACAAAGTTTTGTACATAAGAACCTTAAAGAATGACTGTTGGTAGTTACATATTAAGTGCATCTTTTTTGTTTCTAGGAACAGAGTTATAAGAAAAATTTTCCAGTTCATTTTACTCTGTTACTCCGGAGACACACATGTGATGTATTTTTAAAAGAATGAGGCTGTTTTTTTTTAGTTATGATACCGCCATATTGATTCATTAATATACTTATTGATATTAAAGTACAGTGACTGATTACAAAGTTGGTTTTTATTTTATGTCAGGTAGGAGACGTTATCAAGTGTCATTTCTGAAATAAAGGCATAAAACTACTGGAAAACTCAACGAAGCTCGATGCTAGTTATAGATTTATAAACTACAGAAGATTATTTAGCAATATTAGGCGCAGATAGAGCAAAATAACAGAATTTGTTTTTTTACCCAAAAAGTTGATTCAGTGCAGAAAATAGTCGATCCACCCAGTTATCGCAGCCTTACTTTCGGAGACAGAGTCCATAGCCCGACGCAATCTTTCTGAATTGACATGATGTAGCTAATTGTTGACATGACAAGGCCAAGACTTGCTAACAACGTTGAAATGTCCCCGTTCTACGATTTGTCTTTGTATTTAATTTCGTTACTTAGTAATATCTTTGTTAATATTGTTCAATAAATTGGGAATCGCTGTGTATGTCGGAGTGGGAAGGTACGAATTTAGATTATAGACTCAGATAGATATATCCCATCCTTAACAATAATGTGACTAAATAAGATCACAAGTTGGCTGATGTACAATCAACATGGTGAAATGGGGATATATCAATTCGACTCAAAACCATTGTGCTTACGGATGCTCCATAAATAGCATGTCTCACTTGCTCTCATGCCCACTGTATCCGACCAGCTGCACCCGGGAAGACCTGCTAAAGGCAACAGTTAGAGGTGTAGAGATGGCTGCTCACTGGGACAAAGAAATATAACACAGGATTTCTACTCGTTTCTGGCATTGACTCGACAAGAAGAAGACTAAATAAAGAAAGTAATTTTTGGGAAATTAACAAAGTAGATTGAGAAAATAACGTACCTGACGCCTGCAATACATATATTTAACTTTCACTGGTATCAGATTTGGCAAAATTGCATTTGATATGAATAGCCAAAAAATATTAGTTAACTCTCTTATAATATCATATTTTTATCATTGAGGTCAATAATAACGCACGTACTCAACATAGCTCCGCACTAGGGAAACTTTGTGTCGCGGGTGCCCTGGACACACATATAGACAACCACAAATTACACACAAACTCACCAGAGAAATAAATGTAGATCATACAAATAACTTCTCCCGGCCCGGGAATCGAACCTGAGTCGGGAACGGAGGCGGTTAAATATATAAATAAAGAACAGCTATCTATCGAACAGAACACAAAGACAAAAGTCAGTCAGCCGTGGTCATGGTACTTATAAAGATACCACAAAACGTTGGTTTATTTAAAAACACAAATATAGGTACTCGATTTAATAGTTCTTCTTTGCGAGTCGACTCTGACGTTTATATTTGTAAGGACTAGTACTCAGCGACGGACACATCATTATCTGTGGCGTTATACAGATCAAAAGAAGATGATATGGACAAAACATGTGCCATAGTCTGGGGAGAGGCACCACATATACATGCACTCTCAGAGCTATAATCCATAATCAATCTATTTAGAGATATCCAAATTTGCCAAGGTAGATTCTGTCCAGGAGCGAGGTGCTCCGACAGCGGAATGAGTGATGCCGTGGGGTATCTCTCCTTCCAGAGACATCCGTATAAGTCTCTGGAGGAGATTGTCTTGGTTAGATTCCCCTTCCACCTACCTACTACTACCACGTACCTACTGGTACTAAAGGGAGAGACAGACAGGGTATGTAGATAGGCTTTTACAGTCTTACCGACCATCTTGAGCTCAGTGGTTCGGTTGTTGAGGACTTCGGGCTTGTGTCCAGTTAAAACAGGGTTTTTTAACCTGTCGTCCATGGACCCCTAAGAGTACGTGTAAGGTGAGCCTGCATTAATGTAAGTGTAGTAATGTTGTGAGTAAATAGGTGTTGTACGCGTGATCTTTTCGAATTTTCACGCCCCTTGTTGGCCATGCATTATTAGAGCGAACGAGACGCGCGTAAGTGCCTTCGACGTCAACGCAACCCGCGTGTCTTTCTTCTTCATCTTTTTGGAAAGCGTCCGAGAGTGCTTTGAAATTTTGAGAGGGGTCCATGATTAGAAAAAGGTTAAAAAATCCTGGTTAGAAGATCACAGGTTAGGAATACCTGGAAGGACCAATTTTGGAAATAAACTTCTCTAAGTTGATTTAACGTAGGTACTGCGCATGTCTTCCATTGGGCTAGGTTCGACTACGGACTTCGACTTGCTGCAATATTTACGTACCTTTTCTATGTGATTCCAGTAAAAGCAGGAACGCACCCAGCGCGACGTTGGGCATGGTGTGGCTGTGCAGGGCAACTCGGGGCGGCTCTAGCTGCTGCTGGAGGGGCCGCTATCCTTGCTGCTTTGGCGTCAGCCGCTAGAGCGAGGGCCAGTCCTCGACCGCTGTTGATCAGCAACTCTTTAGCAGGTAGACGTAAACTGCAGGATGTGTCACAAAACTCATTAAAATGAAGCAAATTGTACATGAAATTGTTAAAATGATTAAACATTCAAACCATTGACTTACAAATAAATGGACGACGGGTCTAATACAAAAACCACGAAAAAAATGTCCCAAGTCAACCTATTTAAACGTAGTGACATGTAAAGGAATATGATAAAGCTAAAACGTTGAATTTAAATTGTAATGTCAACGCAGTACTGTCTAATTTTGCTTGCTTCGCTGTCAGTCGAACAAACGAAGACTAAAGCGTGAATGACGCTCTGTATACGATTTCAACGCCTAATAAGTTCGGACACTTTTTAGCGCGGACCCGACGTCCATATAATTGTAAGTCAATGATTCAAACGCAACACACCACAGGCGTAGGCCTGGTTTTTAATGTCCGACAGGCCTTTAAGAGTCTATACAACCTCAAATGACTTTGAATCCGCATAACAGTGAAAGTGTTGAAGTTGTAATCACTTTGGAACCTTGTCCTAAATGTAATATAATAAAATTATACACTGATTTTACAAGACAAAGTGCTGACTTATATAATTTGATAAATAAGAAATTGAACATTTACCCTATGAATTTATACGAGTGTAAGAGTACCCTGAACGCATGGCTTAAAACACAAAAATACAGTGAAGTGGAAAGTCTGTTACAAATTATAACGTGACAAAATCACACACCACACACGCACGCACGCACGCACGCACGCACGAACGCACGCACGCACGCACGCACGCACGCACGCACGCACGCACGCACGCGCGCGCACACACACACACACACACACACACACACACACACACACACACACACACACATTCAGACATTTTCGCTATGTTCTCTTTTTGTTTTTATTTTGAACTACTTACTTTTAGATTTAAAACAAATAATTGGAAATAAATCATAAACTTTTTGTACATACTATTAAGGAAGAGCGGGGTCTCCTGACACAGGTATTTATATACTTAAAAGGAGTACCCTTGCCACTAATTTGTTTTGTATGATTTGTTGATGAATAAATATTTTTGTATTTTGTATTTGATTAGTACACGGTGTGAATACACGATTACTAAAAAAAATTAAAAGAAAAAACACAAACTTACCTCGAAATTTTGCAAAAAACCGCTGCATTCAATAGATACTTTACATATACCAATGATTTTTTTAAACTCAACTGTAGTAAATATTAGTATAGTACACGATAACCATTTTTCAAACGGCTTCAATTTCGTTTGTAAAAGAATAAATGCTGAGATAAACCGCTCGCCCCGCGCAATAGAACAGAATCAGTACGGGAAAAATTTTAACTCGAGCTTTTCGAGATTCTTAAATAATAACTACCTCCGTGGCCGAACGGTTACCATACCGGACTGCCACGCAGAGGTCCCCGGGTTCGATTCCCGGGCCGGGAGAAATATTTGTATGGTCTACATTTATTTCTCTCGTGAGTTTGGGTGTAATTTGTGGTTGTCTATGTGTGTGTCCATGGTACCCGCGACACAGGGTTTCCCTAGTGCGGGGCTATGTTGAGTGTGTGCGTTATTATAATAAATAAATAGACGCATACGTTGCTCTGATCCCAAAGTAAGTAACTAAATCACTTGTGTTATGGAAATCGGAAATAACTACGATACCACAAACACCCAGACCCGAGACAATACAGAAAAGTAAGTTTTCTACATCGACCTGGCCGGAGATTGAACCCGGGACTGCAAGCCACTCGACCACGGGTTATGTCAGGACTCACTAAATCACGGGCCGTGGGAAGCCACTTTAAACTCATAACCTGAAATATGGGTACCAGACCCTGGGAGTACTACCCAGAACACCCAAACCAGAACGTCCGTTTGTTTGGCCTTGGTTAGGACTACTTTAGGGAACGGATCCCTGGTCACCGAAAGCGCTAACCACGGGATCTTGAATATATTTATACTTCTTCAAAACCTTACAATAAATTGATTATTGTCTATTTCTTAAATTTCAGTACTCTTCACCCTCGGCGCTATATCCGTATGGCTGACAGAGTACTTCCTGCGGTTGCAGTACAACGTCATGTCTGATGAAGACCTTGCCAACACGTGGACTTCTGATGGGATGGCGGATCTGGGCCTTTCTTTTTGGTAAGAACATTTTAAAGTTCAGCGGCAAATCAGATGGTAATATGTAGAATAAAGGTGTTGATACACTTAACGTGTAATCGGCTTGAGCCGAAAAAAGTGAGCTACATTTATCAACTTATAATAAATGTGAAGGCAATACTTTAGTATAAAACTACAAAAATATAAAAATAAATACAAAATATTGTATAAATATACGTGTAATAAAAATAATTAAAATTTTATCGGAAGAAATTCCTCTGCACTGCAAAGGATCCAATAAAAGGAGTTTATAAAACATTCGCCGTTTGTAACACTTTAGATTTGCGGGTTGGTGTTCTTAATACAGGGACATAAAGTTTTTTTTTGACCAGCTTAATATGATCCCTATTGTGAATCTGTTGATTCCTTCAAATCATCTTTTATTATTTACTCAGGTATCTAAGCGTCGTATTCTAGAACTCTACTCAATGCTCAAGTCAGGACTTGAGTATTCCAGTGAGCACTGAAAATCATAATCAAGTCCTTGCCATTAGAGTCGTATTTCCAGTGCTTGAAATCATACTCAAGTCTGCTCAAGTCCTGACTTGAGCATTGAGTAGAGTTCTGGAATACGGCCCTAAGAGCACTGGCTGTCGTGCTGTGCCTATGTACCACTTTACTACTAATATCCCAAGCGCAAATACATGAGAACATATACATACACACAATACAAGCAGCCCAATCAGTTTTGGTTCTATTATACCCTACGTATACATCATACGCATTTTTCACTTTTGATTTACATATTTTTTTAAATTTTCTCTTGGTCGAAGCGACATCATCTTTGTCATTTATCCGGCTTCACTGAAAACCAGCGTAACGAAGGATTTTCTAACGTCTCGTTTACAATAAGTAATTTGTTTATTTTTGTTATCATTTTTTAATATGTTGTTACCAAATGATTGTTTGTGCTCTTTCTCCTAATTCTGTGTCGATGAGTGTGGTTACTCCTGTACTACAATGCATTTATTGTCTGGCTGCGGTGAATATCAAGATCTGATTCATGACCATTATTATCGTACTTATAATCTACAGTAGGAGAACGGTTGTTTCTCAACATCAAGGGCGTTGCGCTACTATAAGGAAAATAAATACTGTGCTATGGTCGCAGCAGCAATACATATGTATATGTTGCTACAAGAATGTAATAAAAACGATGAGATTTTTTGTGAAATAACCCCACTAGTTGTGTTAGAGTTAATAATACAAAGATCGAACTCGCAGAAGAATTTCTTCGAGCCGGTGGGACTTGAACCCACGACCATGCTGCACCGTAGCATTGCGCTTACCAACCGAGCCATAGGTCAAGTTACCGGGTTGTCGAAATTCTCCTATCTGTTTTTTGTTATATATCTTTGTACTGGCTCTTTCGGCATTCGTCGCTGCTAGTGACACCTAGTGAGAGATTTTTTTTGAAACCTCGCCGCAGCCGGTACGGTTTTGTAAAATAATTCGACTTATTTAGATTTTTAATATTGTGATCATTTATACAAAGATTTTATGTAAGAATGTATTTTTCCATTCTGTTTTCAGGTTGGTAGTGGCAGCATCAATATCAGCGCTGGCAAACATCATATGCGTCATGGTGGCCATGGCTGATGGAAGAGATGAGGACACCATTGCACCTGCGCTTGAGGAGAAAGTCAATGGCGCCATTATGTTGTATTAACAAGAAATGTACCTATAGAGGGCTATCCCATGATAGAAATTCTTTATGTGCTAAGAACGAATCTAGCGAAAACTTAAGCGCACACAATTACGCTCGATTGTCCAGACGTGGTTATTTGTCTCGACGGAAAAAGACACTTCTGTGTAAGAAGTCAAATTTCTTAACGAAATTTTCATAATACGAAAGTTATTTATATCGAAGATAATAAGTCCTTTTTATTATGGAGTCGATGTCGTAGATAGCTTGGATATTTGTGACTTCATACATATTACTACTACCTATTAAAGACAGATAAATGTAATCCCACTTCTAAAAACAATCAAGGAATTTAAGAAAAATATCCATGATTTCTTTTATCGACTGAAGCGGAGAAGAGACTTATTTAAACAGCCAATAGGAATTTGTTATTTTGACATTATGTTTTACTTTACAAATATAACGGGCTCCTATTGGTTGTTAATACACGTTTTCTCCGCTTTCAAAGATAACTCGTGTGACGTATTAATCGAGAGTGGATAGCTTGGAGAATTCAAGTTAAAACTTCAGTTTATGATACACAAAATGACTGATTGCGAGTTGACGGCGAAAGAATTATGCTAAAGTTGTAATTCGTACCTAACGGCCTATGAAAACTTTTTAAATAAGGAGGGGGATGGAGAACGGGAGTATTGGGTTGTGGGTTTTTGTTTCATTTATGACAAATTAAAATACAGAGCCGCCAAGTTATCTGTGATATAGCAGTAAAACGACCTAGCGCTACCGTATTTGAAAACGACAAACTTTGTGTAATTAGATATCCAAATTACAAAGCAACAGCCTAATGTTTAGAATAAGTTCACGCACAGCGCCATCTATGAACCTGTTCGTGTAATTATGATGGGATACACAGTAGCAAGTAGCCTAAGGTAACTGTTACAGTGAGTTACACTTTTTACAATTAAAAAAAAAGACAATTTTAAATTTACAATTCCGTCCAAAGTCCGTCCAGGTTGTTTATACATTTTAAAAAGCATAATATCTTAACTGACAATATTATTCATTTTAATAAATTTATCACTACTGTAGTTTAGCAACACTGCGATACTAATAATACCACACTTATCATTAACAAATTGTGCGTCCCATTGCTGAACATGGGTCTCATCCATGAAGAGGGTGTATGACAGTAAGTTATTAACTTATTTATTTTAATTTAATTATTACGGACAAACCAGTTACAACCTTTCAAGTATCCTTTTTCACAATAATACAACAATTCTGACAATATTCCTGACCACTCATCCGCAAACAAGTCGCATTCATGGTTGGTGGCAACAAGAGAATTGGACGTTGACAGGGAGCGCGCTACAGTTTGGGACCACGGGGTGGCAAACATGTTTTGTCTTTTACTGCGGTGACAGTTGTTAAGCGCATAGACTCTACACAGCTTATCATGCAAATCTGGGGAATCTATATTACCGCGCAGAATTTTGCAAGTAACCACCAGTTGGTGTTTCATTCGCCTAACCTCCAACGAATTATAACCCAGACAACCCAACAGAAACGAAATAGGATACATATAGGGGTAGTACCCATTTGCACGTTTGTACTAGTATCTAAGAAATGCTTTTTGCGCTTATTCTAACATATGAGCTTTCATGTGGGTTCCACACGCACGTGGAACTTTCCAATTTACTAATTAAGCTTGCAGTACTCTTTATAAAGCAACCAAGTTATTTGTAATATGAATTACATTTAATATGTTGTAATGTGGTGGCATTGGGTTCTTTTTTTGCCATATCACTCAATTTGACGGCAATGTACTACTGTAATGTGAGGTCTACACACTGAGCGCGAGGCTGTGTAGTTTTCATTAGTGTCAAAAGATCAAATTCTACTAATATCAAATCGTCTCAGTTGTTTCGTTATCGAGTGTCAATGGCTGGATTTTGTACGTGAGATGCTATTCAAGTGATTTTGCAATTTTTTATTTAATTTTTTTTCTGCTCTTCAATGGCAAGTCGATGGCACGGCAATGGTGCAGTCTACTACTATTACATATCACACTGCTAATACAATAGTGTATTAACTCAAAAAGTGAATGTTTTCAGAATAGCTGAAAAACTGATCACTCAGTTCCCGTGAAAGATTATTATAATTGACGTATAGGTTAAAATTTATTAGACATCAAAACAACTCGCGATGAAGGTAGTCGTCGACAGCGCAAGAGGGTATACAGATATGTCTGCTCTTAAAGCTGTCATCTGCCGCCGTCCAGTCAACCCGTGGCCATGGAGCGTGCAACCGTTCCGAAATATCGGGAAAATAAAAAGAAGTCATACCGTGGTAAGAAACCTGATATTAGTGACAATCATTTGACAATTTTATTGACGTGTAGAAAAACAAGTTTTACGTTCAGAAATGGTATAATCCTGAATTTCACATATTTTGAGTTACAACAGTATTGTAATAGCAGTGCGTATAATATAAATAATAATTTAATTTGAAGACTAAATTGCTCACTAACCGAGATAAAAATAAGCTATGCATATGCATAAATAAATGAATTATTATAGCAATTTCCACGGTAGTTTTAGTAAGGCATTCGGTATTTTACAGGATATATCATGGAGAGTGTGCGATGGAATTACACGATTTAATCCGCCTTCCCCTTTCCATCACCGGGGGACTAGAAGTAGGCTTGGATTCCACCCCTTTGTTGTGGATATTCCAAAGATTCGCACGAACCTTTATGCTTCCACATTCATATGGCGAACGGCTATGGAGTGGAATTCCCTGCCTGCAGACTTGTTCCCCGAACGTTATAACTTGGATCTTTTCAAGGCGGGAGTGAATAGGCATTATTTAGGCGTGCATGCTCAATCGTCGACCTCATCGTCACTTTCCACCAGGTGAGATGGAGGTCAAATGCGCACTTACATTTGTATAAAAAAGGCAACATCCGTCGTTAGTTATTGAACGAATGAAAATGAATAAATCACTGCCATTCCACTGGCATTCTATTGAGACTCAACTGCCATTGCCACTCTGGCCTTCTTCCAGAGTCTCCCTGGAATTGCAATGACCTGTTTCTATACCTTTCTTACTACCAGTCGTACTAGTATGGAAACTGCCTCGCGCTCAGTGTGTGGATCACGCCAGTTTGAATTTATGTAATGAATCTCCATTAAAATATTGATATTAAAAAAAGTACATTTCTGTATTGTTCGCTTTATAAACATAATTAAAAGGCTGAATGTTAGTACATAAGCGTATTTAAATACAGTATTAGTACATAAGTATTATGAAAATTGCTTTATTTGAAAACTATTCCGTCCATTTACAATTTTAATGTTTAAGAAAATCATTGGTAGATGGCGTTGTATCTAATTTGTTAGGGTAAGGCACTACCCTATGCGTGAGACGTCACATTTCAACGTACAAACAACAGTCTAATGTTATAAAGTATTATGAAGATTGCTTTATTCGAAAACTATCTCGTCCAATTACAATGGAATTTTAATGTTTAAGAAAATTATTGGTAGATGGCGTTGTACTTAATTTGTCAGGGTAAGGCCCTAAAGTGTGACGTCACGTTTAAAAGTACAAACAACAGTCTAATGTTCTAAGTATTGCGGTACATGGTATTAATAGAGAAATAATATATTTACTTGCGTTATTGATTGTTGTTCACATTAGCTCATATTAGTTTACGTACAGCGCCATCTATGAATCAGTTTGTGTATTTAATATGAGATATCCATACCTCAATAATAAAATTTAGTGAAAATGTTAACAATTCCGTCAAAAGGTTGTTTAAACGATTTTTAAATAGCCACTGTACTTATATTTACTACTTTGAGTGCAGTTGTTTTGAATTAAACGCAGTAAGCGCATTGCACGCGCGATACTCGCGTGCTCTTAAATATATGTTAAAGTATGTGACACGCGGACAGATTGCACAACGGAAGGAAATATGGAGGAAATATGATTTGACATCAGTCTGCAAAATTTGTATATACAATCCATTTTTATGTGTATCAGTAATTTTTTGATTGAAGATACGAGTTTGAGAAACGAGTTTGCGAAAGTATGGCACCAAACCACCACTTAATACTGGATTTAGGAATTTTTTGTTCATAATTTTCATTACATATCAATTCCAATCCAAATTACATATCAATTGTAGGCAGGCAGGGTGGAGGTGGCTAGTGCAATGAGGGTTTCATCGCTGCACTAGGTTCCTTCGCGTTTGGATACCACTTTCCACTTAACATCAGCTGCAGTGGAGTCATTTGCCTGTCATGTATAAAAAAAAAATTCAATGTCAATATAACAACGTATAAAATAACATTATTTAATATAAAAATTTTCAGATAAATTAAAACAAGAACCTTGATTAGCCACACTTTTAGTCTAAAGGGAAGACGTGCTCGGAGAGCTGGTGACATCGCCTTCTCTAGCCGGTGAAGATAGATAGTATCAATGGCAATTTCACTTTGGACGCCCGACATGATTGCGGAATTAATAACCATTATCTTGTACCGACAGCGCATAAAACACGTTAAAAATCACGTCATTATAAAATATAAAAAACTAAAAAAAAAACTTAACTGCGTGCGGATGACATGTCTCTCTACGACTCTAACTGGTAGTACCACAGAAATCCAAATAAATAGGCACTAGATTTCTGTGCGGAAAAAATGCTTTACCATAAACTAGTACCTGTATTCAAAGTAGCAATTTGTATTATTATTAGTATTAAATCGTTTATATTGACAAAAGCTTTCAGGTCTTTAAAGCCTCTGGTGACCAAAAGGCTAGCAGCTACTTCCATCGATGAGTAGGTAATATTAAGTGGAAAGTTGTTAGGTTCAATTTATATTACTGCGAAATGGAATGGAAGCCAATTTTTGTATTCATAGCACAATGAACTTTATGTCAATTTTGTAACGTACAAACTACTCGTTCTCCGTCCGACATCGGTCCGTAACAAGTACTGTCAAATAAGTTATATTCGACCAAATTGAAAAACAATGTCAAATAAGTAACTTCATTCGCATCATGCGTTTTAATTTGGTCGAGTATTACTTCAGTAATTGTTTCGGACAGATGTCGGTCGGAGGACGAGAGTTTACATAGAGTTCATTATGCTATGTACAATTTCGTTACAAATGTTGGCTTCCTTTCCATTCCCAAGCTACGCAGCAGTCTTAGCTTTCTTGTCCTCGACAAAAATACGTTTTTTTCTCTTCCATAATAAGCATTATTATTCTTATGAAGTACATACGCCATGTAAATACTTGTTTAAATCGTTTTTATTAGTTGTGCCATTAGAATAAGATACATTTTTGAATTTAATTTTTAATTTTTTCCTTCTATTTATACGCTCTCTTTTATATAAATTGGTCTAATTTTTTTTCTCGAATAAATAAATTTTATGATATAACAAATTGTTTATTTCTATTGCATTCAATCTGTAAGCCGTGAATATTTTTTGGGTTTGGACATCGTGATCTTGCATCTAGTTATTTGAAAAAAAAAAACAGACGCACACTTGGCTACATGCGAAGATAATGAACGATGACGTGACCGATGATGATACGCATTTCTCAAAAAAATGCATATTCAGTTTAGATTTGAAGAAACAGCTCACATTCTAAGCAACGTCGTAGGAAAGGTTTGTGGCATTTCGTATCAATAAGTAGTGGAAGAGGACAGTATGGAAAGGAATGTCAGGAAAAGGGATAGATCGGCAGGTAAGATGAGTGCTGAACAACTAGACTATATTATACTGCTCGTGCTTCTTGTCCTTCCTTAGCTGCGCTCTTCCTCAACTTCCAGCAGACGTCCTAATTAGGGGTCTCCGACAAATGCGGTGGAACGCGTGGCGATTCTGTTAGCGCGGACGGTCAGAGGAGACTGACCAAACAGTGTTTAAGTACAGTATAATAACACAGTAAAACAGAAGCGGCATTTAACTCACGGCGAAATAAGACTACGCAGAGTACGTTAAGTAAATACTTGGTACTGTAGCTTGGGATGCGTAGCGAGAGGTACTTTTATGAATAATGTCAAGATGCTCCATTCTTTTCTCTTACTTCATTTTCAAAACATTCTAATTACAAAACTATTCATTCAGCCAGAGATTCTACTCATAGAGTAGAGCCTACACTACAGTACACAGGGCTAATCAACCGTTGTTGGGTCGTCCAAGGCGAACGCACGTTACCCAGGACGGTTAGCCTTAGTTCACACGGCATTGTCCGTTTTTTATGTATTCAATTATAAACGGATAAACAGCGGGGTGCTCACACAATATGTTTTCATGCGTGTAATAGACGGATAGCCGCAATATTCGCACAGCAATCGCCCTGAGAACACGTCTGTATAATAATGGATCTGCGCTTTATTTAATTGCACTTTTATATTGGCATTGAATACGCCAACGAAGCCTGAAGAGCCTTTAAAATTTTATATTTTTGTAGTAATCTGTGGATGATGTGGTTGATTGTACTATTAGCTAAACCGATATTCTCATTCTTTATAACTCACCATGTACAATTGTTTGTCATTCCTCAATAAATAAATAAATAAAAGAGCAGAAGGTATTGGGTTCATCCAATGAATCAAGAAGCAGTGCGTACAAATGAATGTGCGTGCGTGCAAAAAAAGACTTATTTGTAATGTTTTGCCAGAAAAGCCTTGAATATTTTGATGTACTACATGGAAACGATTAGACTTTTCTGTTGTCGTGTTTTTTAGTTTAAATTATGGTTAGTAAAAAGTATATTGTTGCTACTTAAAGTAGGAGCATTGTCGTTGGACTGTG